TGTTTTCTTCCTAGCACTCTGGTAATTTGTAAATATGCAGCTTCTGTGTGTTTAATTCCTGCCTGAGGATATGTTCCATGTGGACCCACCTTCTTGTTATTCCCATACATACTACGTTAGGAGAAAGCCACATCAGTAAATATTTGCTGAACAGGTTGTTTAAATCTTTTTAAAATGACAATTTTTGAATAGCTATAGATTTACTGAATACCTGAGACAATTTATACAGAGCTCCCAGGTACTTTGCACCTATTTCCCATTGTGAACATCTTACATTATAGTATGTTGCGTGTTACAGTTAATGACAAGTCCTTTTTATCTGGAGTCTATGTTTCATTCAGATTTCCTTAAACTAATACTTTCCCTTGTATGTACTAAGCACCTGCTCTCCCGCTGACCTACACCCCAGGCCTAATGCCCTGCTTCTCCTCAGGATCTGCTTCAGGGCACCATGTTGTATTAGTTTCTGTTTCCCTAGGCTCCTCTTGGCCTTCTCAGGCTGTGTGTGTCTGTGTGTGTTTGTGTGTGTGCAAGCACGGCGTTTACTTCTGGTTTGAAATCCACCTTTAAAGTTGTTTTATTTTAGGGCTGGGGTTGTGGCTCAGTGGTAGAGCGCTCACCTCTCACATGTGAGGCCCTGGGTTTGAACCTCAGCACCACATAAAAAATAATAAAATAAAGGTATTTTGTACAACTACAACTAAAAAATAAATATTTTAAAAAATAAACATTTGAAAAAAATTTTAGACTTTAATCTTTTTACTTTTTTTTTTTTTGTATCAGGGATTGAACCCAAGGTGCTTAACCAGTGAGCTTCATCCTCAACCCTTTTTATTTTTTGAGACAGGACCTTGCTAAGTTTGAATTTGTGATTTTTCCTGCCTCAGCCTCCCAAGCCTAACTTTTTACTGTTTGTTAACTCTATTTGAGAAAAAAGCTCAAATTTAACATATTCAGTATGCCTATTTTTCCACAAATGAATCAAGTGTGTAATTTTTTATCTCAGACCTGTTTGGCTACACTTACATGTTTTAATATAGAGATCTGTCATTGTCCATTTTGAAGAGGTTTTCATTCCATCTTTTATTTTTTCATTTTAAATAATCGAGTGCTTAGAATATTGTTGACTTTTAAGTCAATTATATGTTATTACATTCTAGTTTGGTAATATTGTGGAAAGAAAATGTGGCCACTTTGGAGAATTCAGTTGTTGTGGCTCACTGTAGGGCCACATTTTTGTGAATGCTTCACGTGTGAGAGAAGAGGGTGACTGGGTGAGGGTTTGTACGCCGCATGCCTTGGACATGCTTTGCTCTGTTGTTCATGTTCAGGTGACTGAGATTAGGTCACCAGCTCTGTTCTCTGGGACAATCCCCCCATTCTGATCATGGTCATACAGTTTTTTCCCAAACTTATGAGATCTTTGCCTTATATATTTTTATTGCTTTAGTATTTTATTTTGGAAATTTTCAAATTGGCTGAAAAGTCTCAGCAGTTCTCATAAACACCCTTATGCCTTTCCCTTATTTCACCAACTCACCAATAACATTGCCACATTCATTCATTCTCTCTCTCTCTCTCTCTCTCTTTCCATCTATAAACCAAATCTTCCAACATAATATTAGCAAATCTGAGCCTATAGTGTTTATAAAAAGAATTGCATACCATGACCAAGTGGGATTTTACCAGGCATGTGAGGTACATTTGAGAGTAAATTAATGTAACCCAACATATAACAACAGATTAAAGACGAAAATCACATCAATAGATGCAGAAAAAAGGATCTGGCAAAATTGCACATCTTATTCATAACAAGCTCCCCTCCCCCACCGCCAAAAATGAGGAATAGAGGAGAACTTTCTCAATTTGATAGAACATGTCTGCAAAAATTCTACAGCCAACGTCATACTTAATAGGGAGAAATGAGATGTTTTCCTGCTAAAATAAGAAACAAGGCAAGGATGTCCAGTCTTACCATTTCTACTCAGTACTCACACCAGAAATCCTAGCTAATGCAACAAGACAAGAAAGGGAAATAAAAGGTGTACTGACTGGAGTGGAAGTAATAAAACACTTTTTTCTTGTAGATGATATGATCATCTGTAGAAAGTTCCAAAGAAACAACAAAGAAACTCCTGGAACTAATAATTATTAGAATATAAGATTAATATAAAAAATCAGTTGCTCTTACATCCCAGCAATGAACAATTGAAATCCGAATTTAAAAATGGAACACCATTTACATTAGCACCAAGAACTCCCACATACACACCTATGTATAAATCTAACAAAACATGTACAAGATCCGTATGAGAAATACTACAAAACTGATGAAAGGTATCAAAGAAGACCCAGATAACGGAGAGAGATTCCATGTACATGGCTAGAAAGACACAAGGYGAAGATGTCGGTTCTTAACCAAGTTGATAGACTCAACCCAATGCCAGTCAATATTCCAAGTAAGTTTTATCTTCTTGATGTTGATAAACTGAYTCTAGAGGTTATACGGAGAGGCAAAAATCCCATGATTATCAATACAATATCAAAGGAGAGAAACAAGGTCAGAGAACTGACAGTATGGTGTGGTATTAATGAGAAGAAAGACAGATCAGAACAGAATGAAAGGGGTCAGAAACAGACAATTACTCTTTAACAACAGAGCAAACTAATTCAATCGGGAAAGAATAGGCTTTTCAACAAATGATGCTGGAACCAGACATTGATATAAAAAAGAAGACACAGAAACTTACATTATTTATAAAAATTAACTTAGAATGAATCAGAGATCTATTTATATAAATGTAAAATACACATCTATAAAAATACCAGATGATAACATCACAGAAAAATCATAAGTGACCTTGGGTTTGGTGAATGACACTTTTTTTTTTTTTTTTTTTTGGTAGTGCTGGGGATTGAACCCAGGGCTTTGTGCATTCAAGACAAGCACTCTACTAACTGAGCTGTATCCCCAGCCCTGGTGGTGATATTTTAAATATAGCATCAAAAGTACTTGTCCATGAAAAAAAAAAATTGAACTTTACTAAAAATAAAAACTTCCTTTTTACAAAAGACACTGTCAAGAAAGAAAAGCCACAGACTTAAGAGAAAAAAATTGCAAAAGACATATCTGATAAATGACTATTTCCCAAAATATAAAGAGAACTTGAACAGAAAATGAACAACCCAGTTTAAAAACTAACCAGAAGATCTGAACAGACACTTCATCAAAGGAGATATATAGATGGCATGTAAGCATGTGAACAGATGCTCCAAAACATGTCATTAGGGAATTGTGAATTAAAATGAGACACCACTGTATACCTATTAAAATGGCCAAAATCCAGAAAAATGACACCACCAAATGCTGTTGAGGATGTAAAGCAACAGGAACTCTCATTGCTAGCAGGAATGTAGAATATCATAGTCATATTGGAGGAGATTTTAGCAGTTTCTTACAAAACTAAACATAGTCTTACCATACAATCTAGCATTCATGCTCCTTGATATTTCTCCCAATGAGCTGAAAATGGATGTCCACACAAAAAACATGCATGTAAGTTTTTATAACATCTTTATCCAAAATTGCCCAAATCTGGAAGCAACCAAGATATCCTCCAGTAGGTGAATGAATAAACTGTGGTACATTTGTTCATTGAAATATGATTCAGTGATAAGCAGAAATAAGCTCTCAAGCTTATTGGAGGAACTTTAAATGCATTTTAGAAGCCGATCTAAAAAAGTTAACATAGGATTCCAACTATATGGCCTTCTGAAAATGGAATGGTTACTAGAGACAGTAAATAGATCAGTGGTTGCCAGGGATTTGGGGGGAGGTAGGGAGGGATGATTGGGTAGAACACTGGAGTGTTTTAGGGCAGTAAACCATCTATGATGGTAGACACATAACATTATACGTTGTTTTGTCAAAACACTTAAGAATGTGCAACATGAAGAGCTGATACAAAATATGGATTTCAATGATTGTATCAATATTGGCTCATYAGTGTAACACGTATCACGGTGACATAGAGGTTACTAGGGCATATCTGAGTCAGGAGGAGGAAGAGGGGAAACATGGGCACTCCTTTGTACTTTCTGATGAATTTTTCTATAAAGAAAACTGCCCCCCCAAAGGCTACTAATAAAAACAACAACATTTAGGTCTCAGGGTATAAAATTTAAAAATATAAAGAAAACACTAGTTAGCCATATTTATTTAAATATCTATTCAGAGTTTTAGTTTTTCAGAAACAAAATAATTTTTATTAGCTTTGGGGACATTAAAACTTTACATATAACCATTACTGACAGGTATGTTGTCCTTTCGATTTCAGCATGTGAAACCTGAACAGTTGAATCTTCTATACAAAAATATCATTATTTTATAATGCCTTTGGATAATGCCCACAATATTATACCAGTTACATTAACATTTGTTACAAAGCCATAAAATACATAAAAATGTCAGCAGCTGATAACATTATTTTTGAAAAGGAATATACAGTACTAATGTCCAGTCCATAAGGTGGCAGGTTTAAATAGAATAGCCCCCTAAGTTCAAAATGTCTGTTTTATATACCAATTTGAGAATAAAACTAAGAAAAAAGCTGTACTAAGTGAAACCACTGCTATGGCAACCGAATGCATCTGCTCTGTCGAGCGAACACGAAGGTCAAAGCCAAGTCAGTGGCCTGTGGTGGCAAACGCTGCTTTGGGGACCGGCTGGCCCACTTCATCTTTGCCTGTGGTAGGAACATGGAAAAAAGTATTCTGCAAGTCAAATGAAYAAGCATCAGACACAGTTTCAAAAACTTTCTTGATGCGATGACAAGATAACCTTGACGTGTTCAATGTGAAGTCATTAAGCCACTGGGTCAGACAGGCCACCAACTCACAGCCCTTGTGTTGGTCAAGTTCAAACAATGGGCTTTTTCTCCACTAAGATCTAGTGGAGAAGACATCTTCTATGTTAAGTGGAAATTTATTTCCAAGGAAACATACTGCTCAAGATTGGAATTGCCATTGAGCTCATAGTGTCAAAGTAGAATAAAAATTTTACAGTCCTGCCATTGCCAAAGTGGGAGAGCAGAGCAGTAGCCAAGCAAGACCCAGAACTCACAGCTCACAGCAGTCTGCCTCACCACCAGGAAAAAACAAAACAAAAAACCTCTCAGCTGAATCACTGCAAAGTGATATCACATTGCRAGGCCAATATACAACAAAGGAAAATCAACACTTGAAACACTTATTTTCTGGAGGCATTTTTAAAAAAGAAGCTTCTTATTGTACTTACTATCTGTTAATTTGTAGATCAAATACTTGATACTTTGGCAAATAGTTTATTCAATACTTTGTAAAGTCCTACCCACACATCAGCACTGTGGGCAACGATGCTAAGAAAATGCATTTCGTTTCCAGGAAAGAAAATAGGAGATGATTTTTGCTTTTTGAAGTACCCACTATTGCATATTTCTTCCAGATCTCAGTAGAAATAGACATCTGTAGACATTTCCCAAGGTCAGGGACTTGCACATACTCTGTGGAGCAATGCTAAGGGTTCCCACCAGAGGTCCTACCGGTGGCCTCCGTACTTGGCCACCCAGTCTGTCCTCCCATGCACTGAAGGGACTGGCTGTGCACGATTCAAGATATTTAGATTTTTTGCTGTAGGATTGTAGGTAGGTCCTGAAAATGGCCCCCGGCCAGTTTTTGTGTTCCAAGCATATTCTGAAAGAAATCAGAATCAGAAATTAGAATGTTATTCATTTGATTATCAAATTAAAAACAAGTCAGTTCATCTTCTCATTTTATGGGAGAAATTCAAATTTACCTTTAAAAGATTTAAGATCTGAGATTTTTTTTCTAATTTTAAAAGCAAAAATTATAGTAGTACAGTGGCACTATTAGGATTTTCGGTAGTTTGAGAGCTAACGTTTCTGATTTATCATTCTGCTGCTGCTCTATTTCCAATAGTTCACATTAAGACAGGCAACATTCAAGAAAGAAAAGAGATTCCTGGTTCAAAGTCAGTGAGCAGTACCCACAATGCAATATTCAAATGGAGCATCATTACAGAAAATATATTTGGAATTGTGGGTCCTATAAAACCTTGGCTTCATGGAAGTACCCATATAGGGTCCTATTATAGATTTTTTTWAAATATGATTTCTAGAATTAAGAAACTTCATTTTTCTTTTTTTGGGTTTCTCTCTGTTGCCCAAGCTGGCTTCCAACTTAAGATTCTCCTGCCTTAGCTTCCCAAGTAGATGGGATTATAGGTGTGCACCACCATGCCTAGCAAAAAACTTCATTTTTTTTTAAACTGGGAAAATTATGGGTCATAACACAACTCCCTTAAGTGATGACATTTTCTAGAATCCCAGACCTTTAATCACAAGTTTTATTTATGAATTTGACTGCTTAAAATTTGCAAAAAAATTCAAATCTGCTAAATACTTGTTATCTCAACAATTGATAAAGTAAAATTGCTTAAACATCTCAAATAAGTGACAAAACAGTAAGTCAATTTTTACAGAGAACATTCTTCTCTTACCCCTTCCTTACTTCAAATTAGGAGCCAGTTTTCATAGGCATTTTACCTGCGGGATGCTCAGTCTTTCCATTTGGGATTGAACCTTCTCACACTGACTAGTAGCTGCCATTCTGGGAGTACACTGAAATGAATCTAAGCATTTGACACCCCTCACGTGAGCAATATTAGACCTACTGGCATGGTTCCCTTGTTTTTCTTACACTTTACTGTAACACTGGGTAGCAGGAGCAAACCATGTGAGTACGTGGCTCTAACCTCAGTTTACAGTGAACAAAGCATGAGTGCAGAATGCCCTGGACCAAAAGCTGCCCTGACTGCTGTGTAGACTGGCTGGGGCCGGAGGCCAACAGCTCTTAAATGAATGGGCTGTCGGGTATTTCATCCCACTCTTAGGAAGCCTAAATCTCTCAAAGTCATTCAGAAGCTGGCTAAAAAAAGCAGGGAAATATGTAAGGCACCGTGTTTTCCAAGAAAAGCCCTTTCATTGTAATCAGTGGAACATAAAAAACATCAATCAGTTAAATGATCAAACTCACCCAAGAGGGCCACAGGTCAAAATGGCACCGTGGGCAGAGCAGAGAGGATGTGAGGCTGGGAGCAGAGGGAAAGGGGGAGAGGATAAGCCTGCCCGATTCAGGGAAGGGGAAAGGGAACGTGGTCTAAAGATAGTGGGAGAGGTTCCTGGGTTAGAAGTGAGGGGTCTGAGAAGTGCCAAAAAGAAAAGCCTTCTTCCAGGTCTCGACAGCCTGTCAAGTCCTAAATGCACTTAAGTCCAACTGTGTCCAGGCCAACGTTTTTTAAAAACTTCTTAGAAAAGGAAAGCGTTTTGCCAAGAAACTGGAAGTGCTGAGACTTAGGGTTCCTTTTCTAGAAATTACAGTGTTTTGGGACTCAAGCACCCTTCAAGAAGAACCTAGTAGCTGACAACAGAGCCCAGCTATCACCGCAGGGCCAGAAATGCCTCGATGCCCAGCTGGACCATGACCTGCACGTCAGGGTCTCCCAGGAGCCGGGCAGTCAGCCCCATCATGTCGGGCTGTATGTTTATTATAAAAATTGCATTTGTTCTACCAAGGGCATTTAACTGTTTGTAGAAAATGCTAAAGGGGTTACAAAGAATTTTATCAATGCCATGATATAAATCAGATATAAAACTTCTGTATGGTGGAGACCATGAGCCTTTGGTAACAGAGTTAGTGTACACAGAGTGCTTAGCCCAGGCCCTGGGCACCCACTGGTGCCTGTATAAGAAGTCACTCCTCGCCATTCCTGTTGCTACTTTCAAAGCAGGGGATGAGGAGGTATGAGGAAGTTTTCGGGGAGAGATTAGTATGATTTTTCTTCTCAAAACTTGATGGTGAGGAAGAAAAGCAGAGAGGGAGACTATGAGAGGAGAGAAAAAAGTYGAATAAATATGGTAATGACCTGGTTTTACTTTCTTGTGGGAAACTGCCACCCAACGGGCAGACTGGAAGACACATCTCCTACAGAACAGTGTCTTCCTAAGTATTTGCCTGGACCACTTGAGAGTGATTAATATTTACTTCTTTTTGTTTTACCTCTCCTCCTATCACCGTCTTTAGGAAAATAGGATAAGCAGAGTAAATGAAGAGAGGAAAAATTATGAGAAAGTATTTACTTTAAAAATGAAAACAGGAATACACATGCTAATCTGAGAATTAATAAATATATAAAGGCCTTGAATATCTTGTAGGTTTTTTTAAGACCCTCTCAATTTCTAAGAGCAGGTATCCAGATAACAGAATGCTTTGACATGATTTTCTGCTTTTATATTAAAAATTGCTGCTAAGTCATGGTGAATGACTCATTGAAAGGCTGACTTAAATTATTTGAGGGATTCTAAAAATGACTGCTATATAGAAAATGTTTACTTATATAGATAGATTTTGTTTCAGCAGAGAGGTAATGGAACAATTATTTTTACAGATAAAGCAACCGAGTACTATTTAAGACTTTACAGTATGGTAAGAAAAAGTTAAAATGATTCAGTGTTTTTTTTTTTTTTTTTACATTTTGAGCTGTAATAGTATGAACTTTAAAGACTGGAAATTTGTATCCATAGTTTCAATATATGATCCTAGTTAGTTTAGGCTGAGAATACTCTGGGGGTCAAATTGTAAATGAAAAGACAACTTTTTTTTTTTTTTTTTTTGTTCCAGGGATTGAACTTACTTAGGGGCACTTGACCTCTGAGCCACATCCCCAGCCATATTTTGTATTTTCTTTAGAGCCAGGGTCTCATCGAGTTGCTTAGCGCCTCACTTTTGCTGAGGCTGGCTATGAACTTGTGATTCTCCTGCCTCAGCCTTCCAAGCCACTGAGATTATAGGTGACATCTAGTATCTTTACCCAACTTCTGATTATCTCTTATGCTTATTTTAGGTGCTTCACTAAGGATATCTATTTTAGATTAAAATAATTTAGAGAACACTCACAGCCAGACCTGGGGAGGCTCAGGYACAGATTTCAAGAGTGAACCTCTGCACATGGCTGTCATATGCCATGCCACCAGTGCACACGTGACTCAGTTAGCTGTGACATTGGAGAATGGAGGAACAAACCCTCCTTCACCTAACACTGCCATCCAACAAAGGCCAGGTGGGAAGGTTCTGCCACGTGGACTCTGTCCTTTGAGGGAGCTGCAGAGACGCCCTGACGCCCAAGGCAAGCGCACGCTACTGACCAAGCCTTTGCCCTGCGCCAGGGGCGTGCGGCAGGAGAGCGCTGACACAGGCCTCCTCTCACATCCTGGCGTGTGGCAAAGCCCGCTCTTCGCAAATGGACAAGCCCACTTGTTTCTCTTCTTTCTTTTTGTGTGTCTGCATGGTACTAAGGATTTAACCTGGAGCACCACCTCTGAACTACACCCCAGCCCTGTTTTTTATTTTATATTGAGACGGGGTCTTTGCTAAGTTGCAGAGGCCAGCTTCCTGTTTGCAGTGCCCTTCCCTCAGCCTCCCAAGTCGCTGGAATGATAGGTGACAAGCCCAGTTTCTGTGCTGGCTCCACAGCGGTGTGACCTTGGGTAAGTAGCTTAGGTCAATTTCCTCATCCATAAAGAGAGCACCCCCCCCCCCCCCGTGGCTTTGGGGACTAAATGACAATTCCACAGAGCCCTCTGTGGCTGGCAGACAGTAACCACTTAATGAGAGGCAGCTCTTCTTTTAATTATTAGACTTTCAAACCGTATTGTTAGAAGAAAAACAGAACATTTTGACAGAACCAGCTGGAACTCCGTTAATAAGGCGACAGTGGTTAAACAGTCTCATTCAGAACAAGTGACTGTATGAACTTTTAAAAGCTCTGCTCTGCTCAGAAATCTCAAACCACCTCTGAGTCGCTCTTACCTGAGGCTGTGGCACCAAGAGGTGCTAAGTGGATCCTCTGGCCAGCCGACCCCACTTCTTTTTTGAGAAAGGAAGGATTGTAAGTACTGTAACTTCCAAGATTTCCTAGTGGCGTATCCAAAGTTTCAGAGTCAGAAGGTGAATATTTTAGGGTGCCAGAGAATAACTTTGACTACTACCCCCATTACTTCTAAATGTTATTTTCTGAGCACCTGCTATGTTCTAGGCACTGTGCTGCACTTGCCAGAGACTTATTCACTCCCTAGAACAACCCTCTCGGACGAATAGTAGACACGCTGTGGGTTCTGCAGTGCTAAGAGACTTGCCTGGGTTCCCACAGTTAGTAAGGGGATGAGCTAGAAGCCCAAGTCAAGGCCAAGGTATGTCCAGTTCACCCCAAACACACCAGGCTTTATGATGCTGGTTCTTAACATGGGGCTGCATCTCCTGCCAGGAAGCCCTGTCCCTGATGTGTTCTCCCCCTTTTTTCATTTTGTAAGTCTGTTGGAAGTGGACTTATGCTCCTAAGGTTGTTGTAGGGACTGAATAAGATGCATGCAAAGCATTTAGCACAGAATCTGGTATTCAGTGTTCGTCCTCCACATCGTGGTGCCCATCACCACTGTGGACCTTTCTTTTCACCTCCGGTACACATTTTGAATCACATTGTCTTTCACTTTTAGAAGAGAAGTTTGAAGCCATGATGGTATTCAGTAGTACCATCAGGACACATCAATTGTTCTCATTCTCACCATTGAACACTTCCTAAGTCCTTACTGTGTGACAAAATTCTATGTGTAGTTATATCATAATGCCTAAGTAAACAGGCTTTCCTCCATTTTATAGATGGGGAAACTAGCTTAAATCACTTGTCCAAAAGCAGAAAAGCGTGTGAGAGACAAAAGAGGGACACATCAGACACTAAAAGCAACACAGGAGCAGTTACACAATGCAGAAAGAAGCTGCTGAGGAAAAAAATGAACAGAAAGTTAAGTCTTCTTAAATTATTTTGGCTTATTATTTGAAGTCCTGTGAGTCACAGAGTTTTGAGTTGGAGTTAGGGGTTGGCATTGTTGAAAACAGTGACATCAGCTCCCTATGAAATCCACCATCTCCATTAACTTGACTGAAATGGTTGCTAATGCCCAAGATAGGAATGTCAGAATCAAAAAAATATTAAAGGAATACTGGTCGCAAGATTAGAAAATGTTCTTTTAATTCTTTTCAATAGAATTATCTACTTGATTTCTATAAATTGCCATAGTTAATTTAAGAAGACAAGCATAGAGCTTTTTCAGAGTGAGTCAGTCTTAAAATCCCAACTACTAAAGGAGGATAATACAGACGAGAGGAAATGCTGAAAGCTGGTCACCTTGGCCTGTCCTGATGGGATCAGGTGGAGGATGAGAGGGAAACTAGGCAACAGAGTCAAAGAACAAGCCCAGAAATTACCTTGTGGCTCCTCTAATTTTTCAGGAAAACTTTCATTGCATGATAGTTTTTCAATTGGTTTAATTATGCTTTCTTCTAAAGAGAAGGCAGGTGGAAAGAAAGAGCGAATGGTAAGGAGAATGTTACAGGAAAAGCAGGRAAAATGAATCAGGTGATTAATGAAAAGATCCAGAATGAGCCCTTGAAATGGGAAGACACTCCCCTGTGTCATCACAGCTTTCGTTTGATGCCRGGTGAGTATTTCCCTGAAACTCAAGCTTCATTCTAACTGATCTGGTTCTGTGAATGTCACTTTATATACCCGAGAAAAAATAAGTTAATTACAGGCCCCCAGTGTAAGACACCTCAGCTTTATCAGACAGGTGAGTCTTTTCAGAGTCTAAAAACATTGTGGAAAGTCTAGGTGTGAAAATGTCCAACCAGAACACCTCATTGGACTGCTCCCTCATGAAAACTGCAGTCATCAAACTTGTTTGGCCAATGCCACCCACGTTTTTAAGGGTTCCATACCTCTTCACACACTTGTTGATATGTAAAACTTTTCATCCTAAGTTTAGGAAGAGGATGTTCTTTTTCTTCCTTTTAAAAAATGTTTTTACTTTTGAGACAGGGTCTCACTAAGTTGCCCCAGCTGGCCTTGAATTCTCAATCCTCCTGCCTCAACCTCCTGAGAGTCAGGATTACAGGCAAGAGGATGTCACCRCCGGCATATTGTAATTGTCAATATCCACATAAAATCAGTGTATTTCTCCTTTAAATATAACCAATGAAATCTAAAGACCATAGTGATTTCATGCCCATATTATTGATGTAAAAATACATGAGCAAGTTCTTTTTTCACATTTTATATTTTCATTCATACTTCAGCTTCCAGTTTTTATCCAAATATAATTTAGTTTTAAAAGTCTTTAAATTGATCACTCAAAAATCCATATAAACTTGAAACAAAGTCTGATTTAGGTTAGTTATAATCATAATGATTCATTGTACGTAATTACTAAAAAAGATGAGTATTATAAATTTTGATAACTAAATAAGAAAAGTTTTCTTAGAAACATCTCTTAATAAGAAAGATGAGACTTTTTCCAAATAGCTTATGTTTCAGCAAATGAATACTTGCTGTTGGGACTTTGCGGGCTCCAATACCAGTGCTACTTCTCTGTCTCTGTCTCTCTCTTTGTCTCTGTCATTTATGGAGACAGAATCACTGAGAAACCTTTTAACTCAAAAGGGAATAAAGGGTGTTTTGTGACAGCCTTGTCGTTATATTCTTTGTACTCTCTTCAAATTTATGGACCAAGAATCATAGCTCAGATAAAAGGATTTAACTACCTGTCAACTAACAACCCAATTAGATTCTCCTTTAATTTTTAGAAAGCTCAAAACTAGAAACCCCCTGCCATTAGAAAGGATTTGCTTCACAGGTACCTGGGATACTTACTTTCTTAACTCTGACCTCAACATATCAAAGTGTCCCTTTGATTGGCACCCAGATATTTTACATTRGGGGAAATATAAAAGTCAAAATCTTTTCCCTTGTAAAGCAGAATTCAGAAACACCCCACAATAAGGAAGATCCATTTAGGAAGGAACCCAGATGGAAGATGAGGATCTGGCAAATGATTCCCTTGGCACTCTTTGTGCTCAATAGTCCATAAGCTTTGTGTACCCCTTGCACGGCCACACCCATCTCCATTGGAAGAAGGTAGGTGCAGTGTATTTAAAAGCAAACATCTGTAGAAGGCAGACTACGTACATTTACATTTTAAATCTATTCTTGCATTACCTGCATTACTCCTTTTGAAAGCAAATTCACTGCCAATGGGTCCCAGAGACTTAGGAAATAGCTGATTATTCCAAGCATATGGGTTTATATTCTTTCCACTAGCTACGAAGGATACATGCTTGGGATTCACACCTTAGAAGAACAAAACAGTCATTTCAAAGATTAGCATGTGATCATAAACTTGAAGGAAAAATACACATGTTCAAACAAAGACTAAACATACTATGCAGAGAGAGAAATTTAGGTTCACGTGTAGCTTTCGATGAACCCTAACATGACCCCAAGCGCTTGGCACACATCTGAGCACGGACAGAACATGCTTGCTATAGTGCAAGTAATAATGAACATTTGGCCTTCTTGCCGAATGAACTCATAAAAATTGAGGGGGCATAAACATTTTTCTTCAAAACCAAGACAGTTCCATGTCACTCACTCGCTTCTGTACACTAGGGCAGACCCTGGGGGACAGACATAAAGCTGGAGCTCAGGGCAATCCAGGACTTCCAAAGCAGACATGAATGGAGCCTGCTAGATGCTTCTGTGTCCATGGGATGTCATCAGACCCACAGTTTATCACCTGTGGACTGGGAGCAGGTGTTAGAAATGTCCTCTGAAAAGAGGGAAGTTGACATTAGTCGTGAATTGCTGAATCTATGAAGTGTCAAGACAACCTTGGGCTTTGGTACTAGAAGTCAAAGGGGGTTGGTTGGAGTCTGCAGTGGCACTCTCAAGATGCTGAGGACCTCGCGCTGCCCACCGCCTTAGGTGCCCACGGTGCTGTCACCAGCCAGTGTAGACATCAACTCTGAGGACTCCGTGATTTAGGACGTGGTGACTCTCCAGGCAGTACAAGCTTTTGCTTTTCACAAACGGAGTTCCTGGGAAGGCTTCACAGTTATGAAGAAGATACACGATAATTCTGTTTTGAAATCAGAAATACTGAGCCTCAAAAGCCACCTGTCATTGGTTCTCCAAGGAAGCACTCCTGGTGGCCAAATCATGTCCCTTTCTTATAGGATATAATGCCTGTGGATTCTGGCTTCTAATAAAACACTTACAAACAGAACTATAATAAGAAATTACCCAATAAATAAGGATGCAGTAGGTAGCAGTGAGTCATATTCAAAAACCTTTACTCAAAAAGACAAGTGCAAGGTAGAAAAAAATATAAAATCTCTTTAAGTGAACCCGGTATACATAAATATAGTTCCATAAAGAATGGATCCTGAATATTTATTTTTTTAATCCAGTTAAACTTTTTAATATCCCTAAATAGGTTTTTAAAAAAGTAGATACATACACTATTGAAGATAATTGGTTTAATTAAGATAAAGATTACAACTTTATTGGAAATATATCCTCGAATTGTAAATTATTTATCAGTGTATTGGCTTTTATTGGACACCTATATACCTAACAAGAAGAGGCAGACATTAAGATAATTTGATATTACATTGATGCATATCACATGATGACCATCTCTTGCCTCTCAGGAGATTTTACAATCAGTTAGCAAATATTTACTTAGTACCCGCCACATGCCAGGCAGTGTGTGTGGCATTAGGGAAAAAGCAATGAACAGAATGGACCAGTTCCTACTCTCTGGGCTCTTACAACCTAGTGAGGGAGACGTGTATGGTCATAATTAAATAGGGAGTTAGCAGTATGCAGATTGTCTGGAAGGATCTGGGGTGAGGGAGGTAAATAAGAGGACAACTGAGTCTTTCTTCTAAAAAAGCAACTTTAAGCTGAACTGTGAATCCTGACCCAGGGGTGGGGAGGTCAGGGAGAGGTGGCAGTTTGGGCTGAGGGCCTGAGGTGGGAGAGAACTCAAGAGACAGTGTAGCCTGGGCGCAGCAAGAACAGGGTGTGGAASGACAGGAGGCTGGAGAGCAGAACAGGGACAGGTCACACAGACTGTGTGTCATGTTAAGAGGCAAACACAGAAGTGCCACAGGACACTGAATGAACAGGTGGAGGGAAGAAGGTAAGTGATATGTGGGGGGAGACAAGGATCCTCCAGCCAGGGTTTTAATCATCACCCTAGGCACGTGTATGACTGCACACGTGGTGCGGTGCGACTCTACATCATGTACAGCCAGAGAAATGAAAAGCTGTGCTCCGTTTGTGGACAATGGGTACAGATGCATTAGCTGTCATAATTAGAACAACCACAACAACAAAAGTGCTATGGAGTAAACTGCTCTGCTGGACAGCAGTGGTGACATCAACTGGATCTAGGAGCAGGGGGTGACACCAGAAGGTACCACTGAGACTATTCCATTGCATATTCTATTTGCAACTCCCTTGTGATAATGAAGTACCTAAGGCTTACAAGGTAAACCGGTGGATGACTGCAGTCCCAYTGAAAGAAACAGAGAACTGAATCTCAAAAGTCTTGTTCCAAGTACACAGCTGGTCAGCAGCAGCTCAGTAACGATGACRCATGCTTGTGTTCTTTCCCTGAAGGCCAGTGTCACAGATCTGCCAGTCCTTGTGCTACAGTATCATGCTGTCCTGTAATCATACGGTACATTTCTAGAGCTCTCATAGTCCTAAAGGTCAGTGCTTAATAAGACCTTTTATACTTGGTTTTAGGGTAAAGAAGAGTCCACAATGATATTTTTATCCCTGAAGACATTCACTTGTGAAATTAACTGTGGATTTAAAATGTCAAGGATTGCTTCTTATCTGGGTTTTATCTTCTGCATGGTTACTGCTTCACAACAGGTGCTCAGTAAATGTTTCTCCAAGTGACTGAACTGAGCCCAATTCTAGTTTCTAACCTCTTCCAGCTTCCGACAGGCCATCTTCAAGGTAAAGAATGCAGCCGGGTGACAGGACAGCTCAAGTTTAGATTCAAAGCAATTTTTTGTAATTTTGAGTCTAGTTTTTAAGTGTCAATTACAGCCATACTTCTGACCCCAGGGAATTTGCAGAATTTGTTAGATTTTTTTTAGTTAAAAAAATAAATGATCAGACAGGTCTTAGATACCATGAAATATATTCCTGAAAATCCCATTAGGAAGCAGAATATGAAAATGTGTGCTTTGGGTCCACTTACCCTCTGCCAACAATTTATAGTAGTCACCCTTYGATAAGTCAGAAGACTGATTTGTAAATTTCAGTCAGAGAAGTGGACTATCTTATTTAAACAGAGTGTATTTCCATGAGACTCTCATATCCCTGCCCATCCAGGCTGAGTAGAATTCTCACGGTTTCAACACCAAACTTTACAAATCTACCGGTACCCAGAGATTGCAACACAAGTGTTTTTGCTGCTTTTGAAAGTGCACCCCAAGCCTTGTGGCCTTCAGTCTGAGGCCTCTGCCTTCCTAAGGGCTTCCATCCCTGGCTCAGCCCCTCCTCCAGCACATTAGCACTCCTCCCTCTGGAGGGAGCATCTCCAGCCACCTGCAGACCTGCTCTAGGTCTCCACTGTTGATGCCCCTGCAGTCCATCCTAGGTTCATCTCTAAATGCCACACCTCCCTTCTAACCTCATCCAGTGCAGAGGGGCCATCGTCAAGACAAAGCATGCCATCCGTGTGACAGGTTTAGATTTCAAACAGTTCTTTGTACTTTTGGGTCTAACTTCCAGATTGAAACTAACTCAAGCTCACCAGGGACCTCTCTCTCCACTGTCAAATTTAATTAGACATTTCTATCCCTCCTTATCCAGCTGCTCAGCAGCAAACTACTCTTTCTGATGAATTTCCCCCTTTTGGCCTCTGGAAACCACCTTCTCTGGCTTTCCGACCCTCATCTGGCTGGCTGTTTTCTTCCTCCTCTACCTCCCCAGGAAAGCCCATGTTCCCCCCTAGTCTCTGGGTGGGTGACCGATCCTGTCTGGGTCTGTGGATGTACAGACTGCCTGCCTGCTGGTGATTCCCAAATCTGTTTTTCTGGGACCTTTTCCAGGCTCTTCTATTCCACTCCCATCCACCTCTCCTTGGTCTGTTTCCCAGGCATCTCAACTGCAATTCCCCACAAATGGGAGGYGCAGCCTCTTCCCTACCCAAACTGTTCCTCCTGAGTCCTTCCCATCTCAGTACCTGGCTCCGCCATCCACCCAAGATTCAAGCTCCAGACCAGCTCCTTTCCTCTCACTGTCCACCTCCAATCCACCAGCAAGTCCATTTCCACTCTTGAAGTCATCATTCTCTTTCTCTAGGTGACTGCAGGAGCCTCCCAACCCAGCTCCCTGCTGCTTTCCTTGTCCCTGGGTAGTCTATTATTTATACAGCAGACAGTCTTTTTAACACATACATCAGGTGCCACTCACCTCCTGCAGTGGAYCAGGGATAAAATGCAAATTCCTTCCCCTGCCCTAAAGGCTGAATTCTGCTCTCCCCTCAGCTCAGGGAACTTCAGATGTTAAACCTTCTGTTCTTAAATAAACTGTCTTTCAGACCCCCTCCTCCCCAGCCTGCAGTCAACTTTGGTTCCCCTCCTCTGCACCATCACTCCATCACTGTTTCTTACAGTGTATGTTCACACACACCCACCCACACCTGTCACACACACACACACACACACACACACACACACACACACAAGATGGTGAGCTCTATGAGAGTAGTGTTTATTTCTCCATCACTGGGAATCCCCAGCACTACAATATACACTGCTTGAATGAGTAAGCCACATAATGTCTGCAACACAGGTATTTTTAAGAGGCACAGTTAAAAGGGACGCTAACAAAAAAGAAATGGGGAAAGTCAGGAAATGTCTTAGTCATCCAATAAGTACATTTATAAAACAGCTGATAAATGCTATACTTGGCTAAGTGGGAAATCTGTATCCAGCTTTGGGGAGCTTGCAGAGAAGACTCCTTCTGGGGCTTTAATCCTCTTCCAGAAAATCCTGAATAAGAAACTAACAATAAAGCTATCCTGAGACCAGAGTGGGGTTCTGGAAGCTTTTGTACAGTATCTGCCCATGAGAGAACCATGACTTTCTTGGACTCTTTAGGAACCTAAGATGAAGAAGCATCCTGAGTGATGACTGACAGTTTTAGTCTGATTACAATGGCATAGTGGGCAAATTCTCATCTCATAACGGAATGACATGAAGATTTTCTATGCAGAAAATTAGAACTCCAAAACCCTTTTCTCAGTTCGAGGACCAAAATAGAAGGTCATAAATTGCAGTCTTTCTCAAATTTTGACTTAATGAGAATGAATAGGGATTTTAGGTCAAGAATATATTTCCTAAAAAGAGTTTCCAATTTTTCTTTTTTTTTTTTTTTTTAGAGAGAGAGAGAATTTTTAATATTTATTTTCTAGTTCTCGGCAGACACAACATCTTTTGTTGGTATGTGGTGCTGAGGATCGAACCCGGGCCGCACGCATGCCAGACGGGCGCGCTACCGCCTGAGCCACATCCCCAGCCCCTCCAATTTTTCAAAAGGGATCAATCAGGTAATGAATAGTAAAAACCTAGCAAATACCATGTTCATGTCTTACATTGATAAAAATTTTACTATAGAGTAAATTTTCTTTTTTGAGGGAGGGGGATACTTGGGATTGAACTCTGGGGTGCTTGACCACTGAGCCACATCCCTAGCCCTATTTTATATTTTATTTGGAGACAGGGTCTCACTGAGTTGCTAAGCACCTTGCCTTTGCTGAGGCTGACTTTGAACTCACAGTCCTCCTATCTCAGCCTCCAAAGCCACTGGGATTACTTGGGATTGAACTCTGGGGTGCTTGACCACTGGGCCACATCCCTAGCCCTAYTTTGGGTCTCACTGAGTTGCTAAGCACCTTGCTTTTGCTGAGGCTGACTTTGAACTCACAGTCCTCCTATCTCAGCCTCCAAAGCCACTGGGATTGCACACGTGTGCCACCGTGCCTGGGAGGAGTGAATTTTCTAATCCCATCCTTACAAGAATCAGACTATTTTGATGAGACACTTTTTTTTACAAGTAATACACGTTTTATTTTCTCTACTTACCTGGAAGGTATCTTGATTGTTTCAAGTAGTACTGTTTAGCCACTGACGCGGATGACAGCTGGGAATCAGACTTTAGGTGAACGGCAGCCGGTAAGCTCTTGTTTTCCTCTGTGGAGTGGTGGAAGCCTGAGGGTACTGCCTCTGAGAGCCTTGAAAGTCAACAGAAGGTGGCTATAACGCCCAAATCAAGAAGTCCTCCCCTACCTCTCTGCATCCTTTCAAATCAGCCAAAGCGACTCACTTTGAAGGCTGCGCCCAGTCCTCTGGCTGAAGGAATGCTGAGGACAGCCCCCCGCTGTGTAGAGACTAAGTGGCACACAGAACTGTTTCTGATACTGGATGGTATGTGACACAAAGCTTTACAACTGAGCAGCAACTTGCTTGTGTGTGATATGTACCTATATTTACTGAAATTGCTGCACTTTCAAAATGTGGGACAGTGGTGAGCTGGACAGGAAGGCAGTAAAAGCCACTTTTCCATGTGGAAATTGAGGATTTTCAGCTCCCAGGCTTAGCTCTGCCTCGTTCCCAAGGCCATCTTGACCACACAGCAGTACACAAGGCAGCCGTCACTACCTGAGGACGGGCTGTCATTTGTTTTGAGACGCACACTCCGGGTTGTGAGGAGCCTCAGGACTGACCTCTTCCCCCCCCCCCACCCGACTGACTTCTTCCTTTGCCAGGACCTGCATGTACTCCCAGCCGGTCCCCACCTCCAAGCATCTCTGGCTACTCTCTAGAAATCCACACTGCTACAACCTACTCATCCAGCCACCGGTGGGCAAGGGACACTTACTTGGATGGCCTTTGAACTTGGGCCACCCCCTGTGTGGGGCACTAGACACAGGCAGGACTGCAGTGGAAACACCTCCCTCAGCCACTCTGGCTATGCCATCTAGGAAAGTTCTCCTGTTCTCAAATCTGCTTGTCAGAGACCTGTTCACGGGCAGGACTGTGGAGCTCCTGTGGCTGCCTCACAGTGGCACCCAGGACACTCTTGCCTTGTCCTACAGGTCTTGAAGGTCTTGTTCTGCTGTGGTGTATTTGATGGGTTGAGGACAGGCTAAGTCATGTTTAGACCTTTGCTTAGTACCTACTACATATTCAATAAAAGTTTACCAAGTATACATGTCTACAGGTATAAATAGAAATATAAATATCTTGCTTTTATTCACTTTTAAAAAGACAACTGTTAAACAAAAGGTGCACACTTTAGTATTTGGCACTCTGTATTCTTGCTGGGGAAGCCCTGGCTGTCTGAGACTCTGAGCAGGGAACAGCAAGGCTGTTCACTTCACCAGGTATGTGGGCTCCATTGTGTAAGAAGTGGTGTGGCATCAGTGAGGGAAAACCTTGGGTTTGAATTAAGCCTCATCTGATCTTTGGTAAGTTACTCAACCTATCTGAATATCAGTGCCCTCTTCTACAGAGATTTTTAGTTGCGCAATTAAATTATGAATAACCCAATGCAGTAGTGCATGCCTATAATCCCAGCTACTCGGGAGGCTGAGGCAGGAGAATTGCAAATTTGAGGCCCATCTCAGCATCTTAGGAAACCCTGTCTCAAAAAAAGATGTAGCTCAGTGGTTGAGTGTCCCTGGATTCAATCCAAAAAAAAAAAAAAATTATGCAAAAAGTTTAGGGAAATGGTATCATATTATTAATAATAACCATATGCCTAAAGTTGTATAGGACCACTGAAAGGTACCAGAAAATAAAAATGTGGAAGAAATGCCCACATGAGCATTTTATTGTCATACAATTTTTATTTTACTAAAGAATTTCAAGAGAAAAGGTTCACTGATGTTGAGAAAATTAACCAATTGTTCCCTTACAAGAATCAGGCAGATTCTAGATGTTAGCTTAGGTCTTGCTTCAGACCTTTACCACCCTCAAAAAACATGAAGAAGTTCAGTAAAATTAAAATGAAGTGGGTTTAAAAGGTTTTCAGGTCATCTACATGCACCACCTATGTTCTTCAAACTCTTGGGCTCCCAGATACAACTAATTAAAAAAGAGAACTATGCAAATCACTGCACATTTTCAAGATTTGATCTCTATCTATACTATCTGATTTTCATCATAAATGAAATAAATTTATTTTCTTGTTCCTTGCCAATAGTAGATAGAAAATTATACATAGAAGATGGAACGTTGGGAGGATGTACTACAGTTAAAGTATTTCATGGCGTGACTTGATTAACTAATCTTTTTTTAATATTTATTTTTTAGTTATAGGTAGACACAATATTTTATTTTTATGTGGTGCTGAGGATCGAACCCGGTGCCTCACGCATGGTAGGTGAGCGCTCTACCTCTGAGCCACAACCCAGCCCCATTAACTAAATTTTAACCACCTTGGTCCATAAAACACACTCTGAATCATCCAAAAAATTATGCAAAATTTTTATCTTTGGGTTTTGCAAAATCAGATAGTCCTACAGAACATTCTAGTACATCTAAAAGAATAGTCAACACTAACCCCTCACGCTCTAAGGTTTTCAAATCACTATGCTTTCCAACAAAAGCTAAAATTCTCTCTCCCTCTCCCTCTCCCTCTCC